ATCTGGTTGTAGCCGGAATACGCGTCCATGAAACTCATCAGCTCGTGCCCCGAGGTCGCGTCGACCATGTAGTCGATGTGGGGCAGGGGGTAGCTGTCTTTAGGGCAAGCCTTAGGTCAGAGAAGTCGATGCACAAGCGCCATGCTCCGTTGCTTTTCTTCACGAGTACCGGATTAGCTACCCAGGTCGGGTACCGGACCTCGCGAATGTATTCGTTATCTTTGAGCTTGGTCACTTCTTCTTTCAAGGCTTGTTGTTGATCAGGGCCCAGCTTCCTTCGCTTTTGCACGACCGGGTTTGACCGTGGGGTCGACCTGTAGCCGGTGACAGGCGATCCGAGGGTCGATGCCGACCATGTCTTCGTAGGTCCACGCGAAGACGTCTGCGTTTTTCCGGAGGAACTTGGTCAGCTCGGCCTTCATAAGCCCCGACAACTTGCTCCCAATCCGGATTTTGGCAAGTCTCCTCATCAATTAAGATGACTTCTTCCTCGTCCATAGGCTCGACCCTCTTTGTTCCCCGCTTTTCCTAGTATTGGGCTCGGGGGTCGAGCTCGTCCTCCTCCGTGATTGGCCTCTTGCCGGCTCTTCTCCCCCTGTCCTGATCGAGGTCGGCCTCGGTGCCGCCTTCGGTCTGGCCGGCAGTTTCGTCAACCGGCGGGAGTGGGACTGCCGGATTTGCCAGCACGTGGTCGCTTCCCAGGTAGGGGTCCGTCGGCTCGGCACAGGGGGCTAGACTACCTGCCCCCGTATCGGGCTCCACGTTTACGGGGTCGGCACCCAGCGAGGTCAATGGTTGCGAACCTGTCTTGTTTCCCAGCATGCGGTTGCCCCTAAGACCATCGCGTGCCAACCCGATGTCTGTCACCTCGGCGTCGGCCTGAAGGTCTACCGTATTTATCTCAGTGCGCGGGATGGTTAGAATGCATTCCCGCGCCTCTCTCTGATCCCCTCGGTGGGTCCCCTCCCCATCGGAAGTTGGGAACTTGAGGGAGTAGTGGAATATGGAGACGGCGGCCTTCAGCTTGTAGAGGGCTGTCCTCCCCAGAATGGCGTTATACTCGCTTGGGCAGTCCACGATTTTGAAAGTTTCTAAGATTGTCTTCGTGGGCTGCCCCTTCTCCCCGAACCGGATTGGCAATGTGACTTGACTGACAGGGGCGATGGTCTGCCCGTTGAAACCCTGGATCCGTTCCCGACAGGGCTGCACTTCCTTCCTATCGATCCCCATCCTCTTGAAGGTCTCGTAGTAAAGGATGCTCGCATAGGCCCCGGTATCGACCATGATGCGATGGATCTTTATCGCCATGATCGGCGCCGTGATCACCAAGGCGTCGGAGTGGGGGTGATCGAACAGGAAGGCGTCTTCATCGGTGAAGGAGATGGTGTTTGGGATCGGCTCTGGCGCCGGTCTGCTGTTGGCGTGCATCACCCTTTGCCCGGCATGATAGGCCTGACGGGCATAGGCCTTGGTTTGCCTCCTGGAGAGGAGGGACTCGCTCCGGCTTGTGTTGACACGCCGGGTTGGGTAATCGGCCGGGTCGGCCCCGGTGCGTGGGGACCGATCTCTCTTTCTGCCCCTAGAGGTGCCGGCCTCGTCTTGGTGGGTGGGGCAGAAAGTCATGATTTCGTGGGGGCCACCCTGCTGCGGCTTCTTTCTTCGAGGATTCACGTCGGCATCCTCGTCACTGTCGAGGCCTTCCTCGAAGCGGCCTCCCTTCTTCCTTTTCTCTCCGGAGTGGGTGAACCTCCGGAGTTGGGGATCATCGATGAGTTTAAGCAATGCCAAGATCAAATTTCGGCACTGGTCGGTATTGTGCCCGTGCGCCTTATGGTAATAGCAGTAGCGGGTCTTATCCACCTTGTCCTTCTCGGTGAACATCGGTTTGGGGTCCGGTAGCAACCCCTTGGCCTTGATCTCCTCGTAGACCGCCGCGGCTCCCACCGAGAAGACGCCTTGGTAGCTTTCTTTCAGTTCCTCAGCCCTTTGTCTCCGCTGAGCCCGGATTTCAGCGAACGACTTGCTCGGCTTCCCTGATTTTTCTTCCTTCGCCTTCGCCTTTGCTGGCGCCGACGCGGTATCAAACGTTGAGATGGACGAGGACTCCTCCGCCATTATGTAATCCTGAGCGCGGGCGAGGAATTCTTGGTAGGTGGTCGGCTTATTCTGGCATAGGGACCACCTAAACAGCGTTTTTGGTCTTAGACCACCCTGAGCAGTGATTAGCAGGGCGTCGGGATGGCACTGCTCCATATTTTGGACCCGGTCGTTGAACCGAGCAATGTAGTCCTTGAGGCTCTCGTTCTCGCCCTGAACGATATTGGAGATGGACTCTTTGGGGGCGAGGTTGACCTGCGATCCGATGAAGTGCGACCGGAACGCCGACCTGAGCTGGGCCCAGGTGGAGATGGAATGGGGGTAAAGAGAATGATACCATCTCTGCGCCTTTGGCCTCAATGTCAAGGAGAACATGCGGCAGCGCAGGGCGTCAGAGGCACCGTGCCGGTCCATCCACGAGGTGTACAGACCGATGTGGGAGTCAGGGTCCGAACTCCCATCATAGAGGCCGAGCTGGGGTACTTGGATTTTCTTCGGGACGGCCTCTTGTAGAATGTCTGGGGAAAGAGGCGAGGCGTTGTCTACGACCCGAGGAGTGGGTCGCGTGCGAGTTTGTGGATGAGCTGGGAGTGAAAGCTCACTCCCGGTGGGCTGCCGACCTTCCAGTTCGGCAATCTTGCGTTTGAGGGCCGCGACTTCCTCAGTGTCGTGCCCTATGGCTTTTCCCCGCCTGATCACCTCCCGGAGATCACGGTTGGCTTGACTCTTGTCGCCCAAGCGTTGGTGGACAGAGCGGCGGATGACCTGGAGGCTTCGCTCTGGCCGGCTCTCTCCCATCTGCTCGGTAGGAGCCGGTCTGGTGCTTCTGTCACGGCGGTTCTGAGCCTCGCGGTTCGGTGACTGCGCCGTAGTTTTGGATTTTGTCGGGTTCCTTTGTCCCCCGGTCTCCTTCTCGGGAGTGTGGAGCAGGGTATTGTTGGGGTTCTCCGTGGGCACCACGGTGTTTGCCCCGGCTGTCTGACTGGCGAGGGCCTTGGCGAAGACCCCCTCGAGGGCTTTGAGGACATCAGGGTGCTGCAAGGCCGCAGCAAAGGTAGGGACTAGTGGAACCGGGACTATGGGTCCCTGCTGAGCACGACGGGAGGTCTCCCCGCCGTTGCGTCCACGAGGCTGGGAGCCGGACTGCTGGGTGGAGTCATCATGGCCGGACGAAGGCATTTTTGAAAAGTTTTTGGAAGTGGAAAAAGTGGGAAAAAGATGAGTGCGAAGTGGAGCTTCACAAGATCGAAAAATTGACACCAAGTAACTTATGGTGCCCTTCTTCTAGTGCCAAACTGTTGACGGACGTTTCCGGTCAACGGTTAAAAAGTTAAGTAACGAAAAGGTAATGGGAAAAAGACCAAGAATTATGGTTTAATTATGATTTTATTAAGAGATCACGAGGTCGGCCTCTCGTACGAGGTCGGCACTTGTGATATACTTACAGATTCTTACACGAGTTTCTTACAAATCTAGAGAGAGAAAATGTAGAGAGAGCTTTTACGGTTGGGATTTAACAACCCAAAAATAAATGAAGGGTTTGCTATTTATAGCGCTCTTTAATACGACACTGTTCAGGCACACTGTTCACCGGTCTTGTCGTACAGTAGTTCGACGGGACAGGCCGACGTTTCTATGACCGATTGGCAGTGATTTCTAGGTTTTCTAATCATTACCTGCCACGCATTAAATGCGGACGTGGGCTGCATTTAATGCGGACATGTTCTCTGGCCGAGCTAGACGTCCTAGTCCTGCAGACTGGTCTGGGATGTCCCATCGGCAATCATTCGTCGACAAGTGGCCTTTTTTATTGTGTTCAAGATCGTGTTTCTGTTAGGGGCCGCCCCTATAAAACTTCGAACAGGGTGCCGACCTCGCATGGTGCCGACCTCGGGATCGGCTTTACCCACCGTTCCCGGTGGCTTTGATCTTTTGCTCAACTCGGCACCCACGAACGATCTTGGTGACCGGCTTCTTCGGTTCGGCCGGCCACCGCTCGGCTCTCAGTCTCTCGAGCTGGTATCCCTCTTGGGGCCGGACTCGGATATTAACAATATAATTGCTAACCATTAAATAAAACCTAATGATATTTTACGCATTTTTCCTCCAATAACCATTATATTATTATTATTATTATTATTATTATTATTATTATTATTATGATTATTATTATTATTATTATTATTATTATCATTATCACTATTATTGTTATTTTTTCATTAATCCACCCTATTCCATTAATGATAAAATATTTTCTTACACTTTTTTTTGGGTTAATTAAGACAAAACCGTTACATTTTATATTAATTGAATAATAATTATATTTTTTATTGTATCATATAATAGTTGTTATTAAAACTAATAATTATATATTACACTAAATGAAATATGAAAGTACTATAAAACATAAAAAATTATGTTGTAATTTTTTTTTTGTTCAAGTTATTTATTCTAAAATAGATATTATATTTTTTTATTTGATTAAGCGATTGTTTTTTAATAATTAATTTGTTTTACTGTCATAATAAAATATTTTAAAATCGCAGAAGCAATTATTATAATAAATTTGATATTTTCAGTTAATTAGTTGGTCATGATAACTTAAAATTACAAATTACATTATTTATGACATTTTATGCAATTAATATAGTAATTTATATGCAAGCAATCGTTATGTACTGTTATTTTAACCAATGATCAAATTTTAAAATACTATTATTATTTTAATAATATTATATACGTATAAATAACTTATTAATAATTTATTTAAATCTGTGCAAATAAACAAAATAGAATATGTATGAAAGGAGCCAACAATTTCATTTACGGTCGGAATGTTTCCATTTGGTCAAATGTTAATTACCGTGCAAAGGCCAACGATATTATGACAATAGCGAGTGACCATAACGCGCTAAAGAAACAAACGCGGTAAGGCCGTTCCCTCGCGCCTCTGGGCAGCATCCCCTCCCTCCTTCCGTTTTTCCTCAGCTTTAAATACCTCCGCGTTTTCTGTCTGCAACCAGTTAATCCCCCGTTTCCAATACTTATTTGCCTAAAAGATCTCCCGTGAAAATCGACACGCATTGCGCAGAAACGACTTTTTTTCTTTCAAACAATTTCACTGCAATGGCGAGCGCGAGGGTAGATCTGGACGGGAAATCGATAAAGCCGATCACCATATGCATGATCGGCGCCGGAGGTTTCATCGGCTCGCATCTTTGCGAGAAGCTTATTGCGGAGACGCCTCACAAGGTGCTGGCGGTGGACGTGTACAATGACAAGATCAAGCACTTACTCGAGCCTTCTTCCTTGCCCTGGGCGGACCGCATCCAGTTCCACCGCCTCAACATTAAGAGTGACTCTCGCCTCGAAGGCCTCATTCGAATGGCGGATCTCGTAAATGATTTCTTTTTGGCTTATTGATTCTATTTATTCCGCAATTTTTGTAAATAATTTTTTTCTTTAAGCTATTCGTTGATGCGGATCTCGTAAATTTTGTAAATGTCGATATTGATTAGTATTGTATCTTTAATTTTGATTTCGTGTTATCATCATTGTTTCGCAGAGACGTTACTTTGGCATTTATCTTATTTAATTTCATTGTCGGTGGATTTGCAATTGTATGTATGTATTTGAAAAGTTGCGAGTTTCTGTTACTGGATATGTTTCCAAAACTTGAATTTCATTTTAAATCTTGATTGCAATTTTAGTATCTCTGTGGATCTGATTTTACATTTGTGAGACTAGAGAAATTAGTTTAGGGTCTGAAGGTTTTCTGTCTTCGACTGTGTCTAGTATTTCTTGCTGTTTATGGACTAGCTTCACTGTAACTGTACACTAGTGATTATCATAAATCATGCTCTATGTTTTGTATATTCTTTTACAACTATGACAATTGCTTGCTAGTTTTTGAATATTATATAGTAAGTGTAGTCATTTTGTGAGGCTTTGACCTGGACTAAGTCTTGAATTCTCATTGTTGCTTAGACCATAAACCTTGCTGCAATATGCACTCCCGCAGATTACAACACACGTCCTCTTGACACAATCTACAGCAATTTTATTGATGCTCTACCGGTGGTAAGTGTTTTATTACATTTGCTCTCTTTTTTGCTTCATCATTCTGAATTGAGATATGTACTAACTGTATGGTGATACTTGAATTTGATTGATTCTTGTGGGCTTAGGTGAAATACTGTTCAGAAAATGGCAAACGCCTCATTCATTTTTCCACTTGTGAAGTTTACGGGAAAACAGTTGGTTGTTTTTTACCCAAAGATAGCCCATTACGTCAGGTGAGCTTTTTCTTTGTTTCCTCTTAACATGCTAAATTATAACTATGTTTCATTTCATCAGGTGAGCATTCGCTTTGTGTCCTCTTGACATGCTAAATTATAACTATGTTTCATTTCATCAGGTGAGCATTCGCTTTGTGTCCTCTTGACATGCTAAATCCTAACTATGTAAGGGATGAACTGTTGTCAGTTGTCTATTACATAATTTTAGGTTTGTTAAATATGAACCATGGTTTATTATGTAGAAGCCTCGAACATTTTATTTGATGAATCCTTTATCAAATTATTGCAACTGGAGTAATGGGTATGTCTTTGTCCATTGCAAATGGAGCTGGAAGAGTCATTGTTGACAATTCTCCTGGCATAGTGCTAATAATGGACTAGATCAAAATGGCTCAATTAAATTCTAGTGCTTCTTCTATTAGTGAAGTTTCTAGAAAAAAAAAATATATATCAAACGGCGCAACGCACCTTGGGTCGCTACGAAAACAGCCTCCTTGTATAATTACAAGGGTAAGGTCTGCGTACAACTGACCCCCCAGACCCCAACCTGTTGGGAATATATACTGGGTATGTTGTTGTTGTTGTTGTTGTTGTTGTTGTTGAGTAATGGGTATGTCTGTTGCAAAATGTTTTCTTATGTGTTTCCTACTGAACCATGTCGCACGTTCCTCTTCCTCTTGCTCATGAAAGATTATCTTTGAGTGGTGGGACTTGCAAAGTGAAATCTTGCACTGTATGATGACCTTCATGTAATACAAAATTATGTAAAATTATCAAGTTGATATGTAGCTCATCGCATGCACATATTTTCTTTATAATTTTTTTCAGCTTTCATCTCTATCTTATTGTGCAAACAGTTTATGTACAAATTGTGCATGGCCTTCAGGAGTCACTTATGACTGTAGGCTCCCTGTATATGTTTTCGCAATAGCAGACACGGGGATTAAGAATTGTGAGCGAAATGTCAGTGCATTAAATCTTGTTTTTTTGATGAAATACGTAATAGTGGTCTGGTGTATTCGCACATCACACATTTACACTTATTTTAATGATGTATGAAAATAATTGAAGATCATGATTCCGGAATGTTTCACTGATAAAACCGCTCAAACTGATTCTAATTATAAAACCGTTTTGTATTGATAGACTTTGTGCATACAATGGTCATTTTCATGTCACTACTGTTTGGTTTTTGTGGTTCTGTTTACCAAGTAATACCAATTGGATAATTTAGTTTACAGTAATATTTGTGGCTTAATGGGATATTTTTTTTTTAGAATGTATCTCTAATCATCATTGTTCTTCTTTCATCAGGATCCTGCTTACTATGTCCTTGCAGAAGATGCATCACCTTGCATATTCGGACCTATAGAGAAACAAAGGTGGTCATATGCATGTGCAAAACAGTTAATTGAGAGGTTGATCTATGGTGAGCTATTGATATTGTGCTCTTTTTATGAGAGTTCTTATAAACTAAGTTGCTCTTCTATATTTTTTTTATATCCTTTTTTTTTATCCGTAATTTTTTCTTGCATCCTTGTTCTTACAGCTGAGGGTGCTGAGAATGGCCTGGAATTTACTATTGTGAGGCCTTTCAACTGGATTGGTCCACGGATGGATTTCATACCCGGGATTGATGGCCCAAGTGAAGGCGTGCCACGAGTTCTAGCCTGCTTCAGCAATGTAAGGTTCATTATAAGAGGCTGTTGAGTTTCTTTCCATTTTCATCATTTCAATCAGCTTTTTTTTTTCCCTTTTCAGAATCTCTTGAGGCGTGAACCACTGAAGCTTGTGGATGGTGGTCAATCACAGAGAACCTTTGTTTATATTAAGGATGCCATTGAAGCTGTTCTGTTGATGATTGTACGTTTCCTGTTGGTCCTCCTAGTGTTTGTTTTATACTTTTTTATTTCTAGAATCATAGTTAATTGGGGTGGTTATTCTCAGGAAAATCCAGCCCGGGCTAATGGTCATATATTCAATGTTGGCAACCCTAACAATGAAGTTACAGTAAGACAGCTTGCTGAAATGATGACTCAGGTAATCTGAATAGTTGTAACTTTCTCTTTTCTTCTGCCGTATTATTTAACCTTCGGCCACTAATTTTCTTTAATTCGTATTCCGACTACATGCTTGCAGGTCTACACAAAGGTTAGTGGAGAATCTCCAGTTGATACTCCCACAATCGACATAAGCTCCAAAGAATTCTACGGTGAAGGGTATGATGACAGCGACAAGAGGATCCCCGACATGACCATAATCAACCGACAACTTGGTAGTGTTCTTTTTCTTATTATTATTTAAATTTTGAAATGTTTTTCCTTTCTAACTCTTTCCTTAATAATTTATGATTTTAAGGATGGAATCCAAAGACATCGCTTTGGGACTTGCTTGAATCCACACTCACTTACCAACACAGGACATATGCTGAAGCCATAAAGAAGGCCACTTCACAACCAATGGCTAGTTGAGGAGAAAGTGCATCTATGTGTTTTCTTTTTGTGCTCCAGCAATATGGAGGGCCTTTTGATTTTCATTTGTTCATTTGTATAATTTTGTTTGATATATGCGGTTGAGGTTCATATTCCCTCATTCTTTTTGACAGAAGTATCGTTTATCAGCAGCAAACGATTTAATGACCTTTTGTATGCATTGTTATCTTTTTTGAGGGCTGTTTTACAGAGAAATACAAATTTTCCCTTCGCGATTGTTGGTGTCAGCCATAGTTTGTCTACAAGGCAGAGAGCGTTATTTGACTCATTCATTGGTTCTCTTTGAAGAAAACACAAATTTTTAAAGGGCAATTTTTCCTAAAATCTCTAACTCTTTTTTTCATTTTTCTCTTCAGTCCCCATGCCTTTATTTCTTCTTTTCAACTCCCTACCCTCTTAATTTTTTTCTTCCTAACTCCCTAGTGTTAAAATTAAATCAAAAATAAAATGATTTATTACATCACTCCATTACAACCAACTAATATATTATTTTATTTGTTTTCTCTCCCACTAACCATTACACATAATAGTATTTTATTAATTTTTATTCAATCTTCTTCCACACCCTATCTCCCTCCCTCCCGTCTTTCTCCCGACTTCTTCCATTTCCGGCGACTGCTTCCATTTTTTTTTTTGCAGGTCGGTCTCTCCGTCGACCCAAATCCGACGAGAAGAACTCCGGCAACAACAAATCCGGCCAAATAAGTGATTCCGACGTCAAATTTGTGCGGCCAAAATTTCATTTTTTCCGGCAACATTCGTGATTTTTCCGGTCAAAATTTGAAGTAGCAAGTAATATATGTATTATATGAGCATTTTGGAGTCCAAAAATCATGTTTAATTCATATATATTTGGTTAATTTGTTAGGGATTGAATTTTGAAATTGTTGTTCATATTAACCCTAAATCAATTAAATTGATCAAAATCTCTTATTTCTTGTTTATGTATACGAAATTGATGCTATCGTTAAGTTATGTAATGTGTTATTCACCCTAAAACAAGAAAATAAGGTGGGAATGATCACTGTACCACTATTATTGATTATTGTACCTCTGTTTGTATGTATATAGGACCACTTTAATACTGTTTTGTGCCATATTTTCCTGGGAAATGTGAAGTTTTTTTTATTTATCCAATTATTGTTAAATACATGAAAGGGGCACAAATTGATATACTAAGGAGTTGTACGTACAAGAATAAATTATTTGTGTTCTCTATGCGCATTGGATCAACGCTTGACAAAGTGTACACTCTCATATCAAAGAGGTGGCCGAACGTTAATTTCGAATTCGTCGTGCTATGCTATATTGCGCCAAAGGAAAAAAAGCTTGTTAGTTTGTTGGATGATGAGGATGTGAAGAACATGATTCGGTTACATGTTTGTTGAATATAAATATTGTAGAGATAATTGTCATTTAAAGAAATGAAAGACCGGATGATGGAGTTCAATCGATCCCGATGAACATGATCAGTAATGTTGCTTTCATAATATTAATGAATTTATTATAGAAATATGGTATAGTCGTATCATATCCTAGTTCATTAATTTTTTAACTAGTTCCATTATTTATAAATCTTTGTATTATTTTGTCATGAACGCAGGGAAAATATACAGTCTAATGATTTCTCGGAGGGAGAAGATGAGTTGTTGCAAGATAAATCGATCGATTCTTGGAGATCTTGCATCAAAGGAGATCGATAGATATTCAGTGGGGCCGACGAATTTCGAAAGAGTGTCAAAAACTACGCGATTGCAAACAAGCGGTCTTTTAAGTATCAGAAAAATGACAAGCAGAAGGTCATCGTTGGTTGTAGCGATGCTGATTGTGAATGGAGAGTATATGCATCGTTATACAAAGGGGATTAGCAGTTTGCCATCCGAAAATGCAATCTCGTCCATACTTGTGTACTCATTTTCATTCCGATGAGTGGATAGCAAATGACACTTTATGAGTAATATTTTTTGTACAATATACTGGCATTTTATCCTGCAATATAGGTAATGGTTTTGTGAAGTTTTAATCGGTGTATTACATTTTCATTTCAGAAAGCTGATACTAATTGATCAATAACAGGTACTTCGTAGAAGAAAAAGCGTTATTATATCCGTCAAAACTGGTACCAATCAATGAGTTGAAGTAAATTAAGTAGTGTTTTTTCATTAGTGTGTTAAGTTCGTGACCAATTTGTGATTAAACTTAATTAACCAAAAATCAAATATCATAGAAACTGATGTCAAAGTGATTATGGGTCGTATAAACATAATTTGCGACCGAAATTCAGTCTTCTTATGTGTTAATTACAAGTGGTACTAAGGACATGATATATGGTACTATCGCGCCATAAAGTGGTACTGCATTTCACTATGATTGGTACTACTTTTAGTAAATGTTGAGCATAATTGAAATAATCAATTTTTCTTCACAAAAGTTGGTTACTAATCGATCAATAACAGGTACTACGTAGAAGAAAAAGAGGTATTGTTTCTGTAGAAATGGGTACCATTCAATGAGTTGAAGTGTATAAGATGTTTTTCCATTAGTGTGTTGAGTTCATGACCAATTTGCGATTAAACTTAATTAACCAAATATCAAATCTCATATAAACTAATGTCAGAGTGATTATGGGTCGTATAAACATCATTTGCGACCGAAGTTCAGTCTTGTTATGTGTTCATTACAAGTGGTACTAGGGACAGGATATCTGGTACTAGATCGCCATAATGTGGTACTGCCATACACTTGACTGGTACTATGTTTTGTAAATGTTGAGCAGAATTGAAATAATCAATTTTTCTTCACAAAAGTTGGTACTAATCGATCAAAATCAGGTACAACGCAGAATAAGATGCAGTACTATGTTTCCCAATACCGGTACTATTATCAAAATCGCGATTTCTCTAATCCTTCATGTCTACCATGACACGTGGATCGTTCACACGTGATTTGGATGAAAAAACTAGAATTGAAAACATATAGGTAGAATTTGAAGTAGTCATGTATGATGATTTCTATGAGATGAAGTGTGTCATTCAATGAAATGAAGTCTAGTGGAAGTGTTTTTTCATTAGTGTATCGAGTTCATGACCAATTTGCGATTAAACTCAATCAAGAACATTTAAAATCTTATATAAACTAATGTCAGAGTGATCATGGGTCGTACAAACATCATTTGCGACCGAAATTCGGTCTTCTTATGTGTTCATTACAAGTGGTACTAGGGACAGGATATCTGGTACTAGATCGCCATAATGTGGTACTGACTTACACTATGTCTGGTATTACTTTTTGTAAATGTTGAGCAGAATTGAAATAATCAATTTTTCTTCAAAAAAGTAAGTACTATTCATCAAAATCAAGTACCACGCAGAATAAGATGCGGTACTATGTTTCCCAAAACTGGTACTATTATCAAAATCGCGATTTCTCTAATCCTTCGTGTCTACCATGACACGTGCATAGTTCACACGTGATTTTGATGAAAAAAAGTGGAATTAAAACATATAGGTAGAATTTGAAGTAGTCATGTATGGTGATTTCTATAAGATGAAGTGTGTCATTCAATGAAATGAAGTCTAGTGGAACTGTTTTCTCATTAGTGTATCGAGTTCATGACCAATTTGCGATTAAACTCCATAAAAAACATTTAAAATCTTATATAAACTAATGCCATAGTGATCATGGGTCGTATAAACATCATTTGCGACCGAAATTTGGTCTTCTTATATGTTCATTACAAGTGGTACTAGGGACAGGATATCTGGTACTAACTCTCCATAATGTGGTACTGGCTTACACTATGACTAGTACTACTTTTGGTAAATGTTGAGCAGAATTGAAATAATCACTTTTTCTTCAAAAAAGTAGGTACTATTCAATCAACATCAGGTACCACGCAGAATAATATGTGGTACTATGTTGCACAAAACCGGTACTATTATCAGAATCGCGATTTCTTGAATCCTTCATGTCTACCATTACACGTGGATCGTTCACACGTGATTTGGATGAAAAAAAAGTAGAATTGAAAACATATAGGTAGAATTTGAAGTAGAATTGAAAACATATAGGTAGAATTTGAAGTAGATTTGGATCGGTCTTCTTATGTGTTCATTACAAGTGGTACTAGGGACAAGATATCTGGTACTAACTCTCCATAATGTGGTAATGACTTACACTATGACTGGTACTACTTTTTGTAAATATTGACCACAATTGAAATAATAAATTTTTCTTCACAAAAGTAGTTACTAATCGATCAAAAGCAGGTACCGCGTAGAATAAGATGCGGTACTATTTTGTCCAAAACTGGTACTAATTTCAGAATCGCGATTTCTCTAATCTTCCATGTCTACCATGACACGTGGATCGTTCACACGTGATTTGGATGCAAAAAAAGTGGAAGTGAAAACATATAGGTAGAATTTTGAGTAGTCATGTAGGATGATTTCTATGAGATGAAGTGTGCCATTCAATGAATGAAGTCTATTAGTAATGTTTTCTCATTAGTGTATCGAGTTCATGACCAATTTGGGATTAAACTCAATCAAAAACATTTAATGAGATGAAGTGTTGGTAGTGTTTTTTCATTAGTGTGTCGAGTTCACGACCAAAACTTAACTTTGTCTATATCCTTCACATTATTTTTTATCTTTCAACTAAGTAGGTATTAAGTACGACAAAACGAGCACTATTTTGAACACAAGGTTGGTACTTTTTTTTTTTTAAAACTAAAATCATATCACTGATATAACTTGATAATTTATAATGCACAGTACATCTCGTCGACACTGCAATAACAAGCAGCAAAATCATCAGAAAGTTAAAAAGACATACATTTAAACCAGATCTTTGTCCACAGATTTCTTCTAACTGAAGTTCCCAACAAGCTAAAACACAAATTAAACTAAATAAATAATCTACGTCCAAATTCTTCCTGCAACTTGGTCCAAATTCCTTTGCCCGCTGAATGTGATCCTACGTCCACCTCGTGGATCCACCTCAACGATACTCATCTTCTGCAACTACTGAAGAATGTTACGAGCCACAGACCCACTGCTCTTGCCAAAATGGGGCGGATGGTTGTCATTCCTCTTGCTTCTACCATAAATCCTTCGGAAGGCACCAACACCAAGTCCTCCCCTCAAGTAGAGCTTTCGAGCCATGGAAGCAGCCCTTATGTAGTACCAATCAGGATCATATGGCGCAAGCTCTTTGAGGACGTCAGTTTTTACCAAATCAATCCAGTCGGGTAGCTCCATCTATTGATCGTGAAATAATAAATAAAATAAGTAAGTAAAATATTTTAGGTGAACTCATGTGAACTACCTTTCCGTGCACAAAACACCTTGTGGGGGGTAGAATACTACAAACCAAATAAAGATCTTCATGAACCATAACTGCCATTAACTAAACTTAATCAAGACAGTATGATAACTAATGTTAGTTTTTCAAATCCAATCATCAATAATCTCACAGTGACAAATCAGTTCGACAATTTAGTTCTTTAATTCTCGGCCTGAGCAAAATCATTACATCCCAAGCAAACAATAAAACAGGCTCTAGACAAACAATTGCAAAATCATCAACGGTGTAAAACTACATCATCAAAAACCATTTACTACAAACAATGCCAAGAATCAAACAACCGAAAAACCAATAACACAAACAATAAACCTTCTTCACTCGGTACGCCCCAAAAATTAAGACTTTTCACAAGTCCCACCTCAAAATACATACCCTTTTACAAAAAACACGCATTCACTTGAGATGACTAAATGAAGAAAAACAATTGAAATGAAAAACATATAACAGTGCTAGTATAGGCAAAAAAGTTCTCACCTTCCCCGACCGCTTGAGGTGGGAGGCATAGGATTTGACGAACTCGTGTGGAGAGACTGCTGGAACACGCCGACGAGGCGGTCCTTCCCACGGATCGATATCGGGTACCAAACATGTACATACATGATTTCGATTAAACCTAAGCATGCTCCTAAATTAGGAACAGAAAGTTTACCTTTCTTCGAGGCTTTGATTCGATCTGAGCGATCTTCTAGTCTGTGTCCCGACCACGTTTGGACGCTGGATGGACGACGATCTACCAAACGGTTGAAAAGAGCGGATTGTGTCTCGTCTTATCTGAACCCTTCACGTCACTTCTCCACGATGGTGGCTGAAGAATGTCACGTTATGTGATGTGTGTTAGGGTTAAAGACGTGCAATCCCTCCTTTTATAGAGGTCCTTGGGCCAGCCTAGGGGATCTCTTAGAAGGTATAGGGTTTGGGCTCCCTACAGGCCCAAATTCTTATGTTCAGCCCAGAACACAATTTGGCCCGTAAATATTAATTCATTCCACTAGAGAATTAATATTGCACTCCCGTCCTATCCCGAAATGAATCAGGGCTTCTATTAGACTCGATATAATTCCCCGTGTTTAAGATATCGCACGTCCATTAATTATTAAAGCTTCTGACTGCTTTAATTAATTAATATCTTTTAATCCTTAAGTAGTACCACTCAACCTTATTATCGTACGGATTAAATCCACCTGCAGGGTTTATACGATAATCCTTATGAGTTCCTTAAGGGGACGTCACCAACCTGGATGTCCAGGACACGGTGCCCTAATGCCAATAAATAGATATCATGCAGATAGTGTTGTTACCCAAGATACGGAGCTATTGAACCAATACTTGGTCCTCACCCATGGTAAGTCAAAGTAACAAACAAATATCCCATATATCTAATTACCACAGTTAGGGTTAAGAATTAGTAGAGTCACCGAGACCTAGGTTCTTCATGATAGTCAGAACAGAAGAACACGTCTCAACTGTGATCCTTTCAATGCGACGCAGCGCACTAGTATAAACCAATAGCCAAGACAAGCTACATCCAGTTTATACTACAACCTACACCGATAGTCATGTCCATAACTATCTCAGTTGTGAATACCATTTATATCTTATAAGGAACCGACAATGCAATCTTCTGTGTGACTACTAACACACCACATTGTCTACAATATAAGATAATTGGACATTTAGCATACAAGCAATCATAAAGAATGCAACAATGTGAAAAACATTCATTTCAGTCAAATGGGAAATCGAATAATACAATCCAAAAGCTCACGTAAAAGTTTGCTTTACAGTATACTCCAACAATCTCCCACTTATACTAAAGCTAAACTTTTAGTATATAAACACATGCCATAACAATTCTCCCACTTATACTCAAAGTCTAGCTGCAACACATCGTAAACCAAGACCCTCTACGTGTTTCTCGAAGACATTGACAGTCAGAGTCTTCGTGAAAGGATCAGCCAGGTTTTCCAACGATGCTATCTTCGTCACAACCACATCTCCTCGTTTCACGATCTCTCGTATAAGGTGGTACTTTCTTTCAATGTGTTTACTGGCCTTATGTGCTCGGGGTTCTCTCGAGTTTGCGACTGCACCAGCATTGTCACAATAAATTGTGATACACCTAGGCACACTCGAGGATACCCCTAAGTCCAGTAAGAAGCTCCTGAGCCAAACAGCCTCCTTTGTTGCTTCTGAAGCAGCAACGTATTCGGCTTCCATGGTAGAATCTGCGATGCATTTCTGCTTCACACTCCTCCATGAGATCGCTCCGCCTCCCATCATAAACACATAACCCGAGGTCGACTTTCTCTTATCTCGATCAGCTTGGAAATCAGAATCTGTGTAACCCAAAGGAGTTAGACTGTCTGATTGGTAAACAAGCATATAATCCCGAGTTCTTTTCAGATACTTGAGAATATGCTTTACCGCAGTCCAGTGTCCTTGACCAGGGTTAGACTGATATCTTGCTACCATGCCAACTGCATAGCAAATATCAGGCCTCGTGCACAGCATGGCATACATAAGGCTTCCTACAGCCGAAGCATAAGGAACCTTAGCCATTTCCTCCATCTCCTTTTGTGTCTTTGGACACATATCCTTAGATAGAGGAACTCCATGCCGAAAAGGTAGCAACCCTTTCTTGGAGTTCTGCATGCTGAAACGAGCAATCACAGTATCAATGTAAGCAGCTTGAGATAGACACAACATTCTCTTCTTCCTGTCACGAATGACCTTGATTCCAAGAATGTACGATGCCTCACCCAAGTCCTTCATTTGAAACTGTTCTGAAAGCCATACCTTTACGTCTGACAAAACCTTGACATCGTTGCCAATGAGAAGAATATCGTCTACGTATAGTACTAAGAATACCACTACGTTTCCGTTGCTCTTTTTGTATACACAACTCTCGTCTTGACATTGATTAAATCCATAGGACTTAATCACCTCATCAAAACGAATATTCCAAGACCTAGAAGCTTGTTTTAGTCCATAAAGAGACTTCTTTAGCTTCCATACTCGATGCTCTTGGCCTTTCTTCACATAACCCTCGGGTTGCTGCATATAGATGTCTTCATCCAAGTTTCCGTTAAGGAAAGCTGTCTTGACATCCATTTGCCAAACCTCATAGTCCATGTGACTTGCTATGGATAAGAGAATCCGGATCGACTTAAGCATGGCTACTGGTGAGAAGGTCTCATCATAATCGATTCCCTCTTTCTGAGTGAAACCCTTCGCAACCAACCGTGCTTTGAAGGAAATAACCTTCCCGTCAGATCCTCTCTTACGCCTATAGACCCATTTGCACCCAATGGCTTTCTTGCCTTCAGGAAGGTCCTTAAGGTCGTATACCTCCATAGCATCTATAGATTCAATCTCAGAATCCATAGATTTCTGCCAAGAATCTGCATCTACGTCTTGGATTGCCTCATTTTAGGTCCAGGGATCACTATCATGCTCTTCACTTGGGATCAAGTCCGAAGACTCTCCCACAAACATGAAACAATCGGGGTGACGAACAACTCTCCCACTACGACGAGGTAATTCAGGTGTAAATACATCAGAGTCAACACGTTGTGCAGTCTCTTGTGGTATATCTTCTTGCTCACTCGGTATGCCATTGTCTTCCCTCAACTCTTTGAGAATAATCTCACTCTTGGACTTATGCTCACTCATATAGTCTTCTTCTAGAAATCGGGCATTGGTGCTCACCACCACCCTCTGATCTTTAAGACTATAAAAGTAACCACCTCTCGTTCCCTTTGGGTAACCTACAAACAGCCGTACTTCCGTTCTAGGTGCCAACTTATCAGCTTCCTTATCCAACACATGTGCTGGGCAGCCCCAAATCCGAATGTGGTTTAAACTGGGCTTGCGCCCGGACCACAATTCTATTGGAGTTTTCGGAACCGATTTAGAAGGCACAAGGTTAAGAAGGTACGCCGCTGTTTCTAAGGCATATCCCCAAAACGAGGTAGGTAATGAAGCATAGCTCATCATCGATCTCACCATTTCTAACAGAGTCCTATTCCTTCTCTCTGCCACGCCATTCTGTTGGGGAGTACCAGGCGCAGTCAGCTGGGATGTAATCCCATTCTCTAGTAAGTATTGCTTAAATTCATTGCTAAGGTATTCGCCACCACGATCAGATTGCAGTGACTTGATACTTTTCCCTTGACGGTTCTCCGCTTCTGCCTTGAATTCTCTGAACTTGTCAAAGCATTCAGACTTGCGGCGCATCAAGTAAATGTACCCATATCTTGAGTAATCGTCAATAAAAGTAACGAAATACTCAAAACCACCTCTAGCTTGAATAGACATAGGCCCACACAAATCAGAGTGAATCAATTCCAACACATCATTGGACCTATTCCCCTTGGCCTTAAAAGGCCTAGAAGTCATCTTGCCTTCCAAACAGGATTCGCAGACTGGAAATGGTTCAACTTGGAGTGAGTCCAAGAAGCCATTACCCACCAGCCTTTGGATCCTCCTTAGATTGACATGACCCAACCTTAGGTGCCAAAGATACGTTTGATTCGACTGAGAAGGTTCTTTTCTCTTGTTTAGTGATGAAGATGCATGAACCTTAGTCACAGTATGATATGCACAAGTAATAGTATAAAGATTGTTAACCAACATGCCAGAACAGATAAAAGAGTTATTTCTCATAATAACAGCATTGTTATTAAAAATAACTGAATATCCATCCAAAAACAGCTTCGAAACCGAAATTAAATTCTTCCGAAAACTCGGCACGTACAAAACGTTCTTTAATACTAAAACAGAATCAGAAAAAGATAAGTGCACATCTCCCACTGCAACCACCGCCACTCGTGCAGCGTTGCCCAAGCTGATGGTAATCTCGCCCTCACTGAGCTGCCTTCTTTGCAGAAACCCCTGCAAAGTGTAACAAACATGATCAGTGGCTCCTGTATCTACTACCCAAGAACTGGTAGAACAAGCCGCAAAACATGTTTCGACAACTAAAGCAAGAGACATACCAGGAGTGTCCTTGAGGGGACAATCTGACTTCCAATGTCCTGTCTTGTTGCACTTGAAGCACTTGCCTTTCGGCTTCTGCACGCCACCAGAAGGCGCCACAGCTTTGCTCCCACTGCTCCCACCACTCTTTTTCTGCACTTGCTTTTTCTTCTTCCCGCCTTTCGACGAAGAAGGTCCAGCTTGTACAGAAACATGAGCCTGTGGTCCTCTGCCCATAAGACCCTCCGCTGCAACCAAGTCCACAAGAAGCTCGGCTAGTGTATAGCCCTTCTTATTCATGATTTCATTCAGACGGAAGTTCTCATAGGACTTCGGGAGCGAGTGCAGGATGATATCGATCTTGGCATCGCCATCGATATTTCCTCCGAGCACATG